AGTTGGCAGACGAAACGCGTTCCTCCTGTTCTCAGGCATTGTTTACTGATTCAGCAAGCAAACTACACAAAGGGAAGTGCAGCCTATTAATGATTTGCACCCCGTGCTGAGTCTGAGGCCGGAGTTTTTGCCGAAAACTTCACAAAAGCCCATTGTCTCAACCTTGGGATGGCGAAGCGATTTTTTCAGCTTAAGTAAATATCAATTGAACTCCTTAATTGAGAAGTCAAATATTCATTAGTTTGAACCGGTCTTGGGGGCTCGGGCGAAAGTGGCACCATTAGTTCTTGCATATAAATTCATTTATTTTCATCCCTATTTTGCTTGTTACTTCTGGACAAAACCCTATTTTTATAATAAAAATGTTGTTTTAATTTGCAACTGATTAGGTAGAAAGCATCAAGATCGAATAATTAAAACTACAACATTCAATCAAAACGTGGGCAATTTCCAACAACACACGAAAGAAGAATAGTTTGAACGAAAACATGAAGATCCTCAATAGGACAGAAGTACACTCAGGCATTTGATTTTTCGCAAAAAATTCCTGTTCTTTCCAAACATTTCATTAGTGGCTCGAAACAAAACTGTTTTTAATTAGCCCGGATGAATTGTTGCACAGAAACAGTTTTTTTAATTATCGTTCCTTGCGTTTCCGCCCCCGCTCTTGATATAATGTGTTTCTTAATTTACGACCATTCTGTTTCTCTTCATTTTTCAGGGAATATTGCAAATTAAACTGCCTCCTAAATAATCGCAAACATTAAACGCTTGAAGCTTTGTGTATGCAATTACGCGATCTCATAACTTTTCCGTTTTTGCAAAACGCCCGGCCATTTAGTTGCAGATTTTTCTGATAACAATTAATTTATTGCGATAATTAGCCGCTTACGTTTTCGCCCATTTGGCCTGTTTTGGGTTCACATGGAACAGCTTGGCGTGATGCCGTTCTATTCCCAAAACACAACTTTGTTGGCTCAAAGTTCCGATCTGATTAAGCAACTACAGTTTGCTTTCCTTAACTTTTATTATGGCCTGTTAAGTATAATTGAGCTGAAATTCCATACACATTTGATACGTTTTAAGATTAAGAGAGCTGAAATCGTCTAGGGCTGGAACATTTGCCTTTCCATCGAAGCTGAGCCCACCAAGAGCAAAAGGGCTCATAGAAATCGAATTTTTTGGAGGAAATTCACTCAAAATTTCAGTTTTCCAGGAATATCACTAGTGGTTCAACGAATTTTTCAAGCTGGAAAGGTTTGGGTTGAGCACAACTGGTTCCTTCATCGCCAATTTTTGAACTTTTGGGATTTTTTGCGCGGGTTTTTTGCKCTTCTATGGCTAAGAGAAACCATTTGAGAAATCGYAACGGGGACATCAAGAATAGCTAAAGGACCTATCAGGTCATTTGTGATGTAAATTTGGTTCTTTTTACGGCGATGGTTCTTCCATAGTGAATTTTTGAAAATTGGAAGGTTTTTGCGCGATTTTTCGCTTTTGGACCATGGTGGTTTGAGGTCTGTTTTTGAGAAACCATTTGAGAAATCGCAACGGGGACATCAAGAACAGCTAAACAACCTATCAGGTCATTTGTGATGTAAATTTGGTTCTTTTTGCGGCGATGGTTCCTCCATAGTGAATTTTTGAAAATTGGAAGGTTTTTGCGCGATTTTTCGCTTTTGGGCCATGGTGGTTTAAGGCCTGTTTTTGAGAAAACATTTGAGAAATCGCAACGGGGACATCAAGAACAGCTAAAGAACCTATCAGATCATTTGTGATGTAAATTTGGTTCTTTTTACGTCKATAGTTCCTCCATACTGAATTTTWGAAAATTGGAAGSTTTTTGCACGATTTTTCGCTTTTGGACCAGGGTGGTTTGAGGCCTGTTTTTCAGAAACCGTGTGAGAAATCGTAACGGGGACATCAAGAGCAGCTAAACAACCTATCAGATCATTTGTGATGTAAATTTGGTTCTTTTTACGTCTATAGTTCCTCCATACTGAATTTTAGAAAATTGGAAGGTTTTTGCGCGATTTTTCGCTTTTGGGCCATGGCGGTTTAAGGTCTGTTTTTGAGAAAACATTTGAGAAATCGCAACGGGGACACCAGGAATAGCTAAAGGACCTATCAGGTCATTTGTGATGTAAATTTGGTTCTTTTTACCGAGATGGTTCCTTCGTGGTGAATTTTTGAAAATTGGAAGCTTTTTGCGCGATTTTTCGCTTTTGAACCATGGTGGTTTCAGGCCTGTTTTTGAGAAACCATTTGAGAAAGGGTAACGGGGACATCAACAGCAGCTAAAGAACCTATCAGATCATTTTTGGTGTAAATTTGGTTTTTTTTACGTCGATGGTTCCTCCATAGTAAATTTTCGAAAATTGGAAGGTTTTTGCCCGATTTTTCGCTTTTGGACCATGGTGTTTTATGAGAAACCGTTGGAGGAATCTAAACAGCAACACCACTGCTAGAGAAAGAATCGACCAGCTTACTTGTGCTGTGAATTTCGTTTCGGATGAGTTCAAAGTTCCTTCATAATGAAATTTTGAAAATTGACAAATTTTTGTGCGTTTGGACAGAATCATTTTTTATAAGTTAAATCGAC